CGCTTACTGGATCTGTCAAGTCTTGGGAATAATTTTCCTGCCTTTTAGGGGAAAACTAGCCCAGACTATATGGCAGGGCTTTAGGGGACCAGAAAGCCAGGTTAGCAGCTCATACTTTAGCATTCTGAACCGAGGAATTTGCGGGCACAGCTTCCCTGACTTTTAGAGGGGAAAATAACCTAATCTACATTGAGATTTTGTTCCTATTACATCCACCAGTATACTCCAATCCAGTACCAACCTTCTTGCTTGAATTTCTCTTGCTGTTCTTGCCTCCTGTTCATCTCAGCCATCTGGATATTTGTGCTCTAGATAATCCCAGGCCCAGCTCAGCCTTTCAATTTTGTTTGGTTGGATACTAATTAAAATTTGCTCCTCTTTCCTCAGAAGGAGATTGCCCCCTCCCCCATTGCCCTCTTACAGGTAATATGACAAGGAAAGTTGCTGACCACCTAACTCCAGTAGAGTCTGGAATTCCATAAGCCCTGATAAATTCCCCTACAAAAAGGTGATAACTAGTATAATAAAGTCCTGAGGCTGGGAGTATGGGAGGAAGATCAAAGATCCACATTCATAGGCCCTACTTTGAGAAAGCACATCTATCCCTGCTCCTATCTAGGAAGGAGTTGTGTTACCTTAGCTTCTGTGGTCAAATTACCACATCCTGCTATCTACCCTAAGACTACCTGGCCTGAATTGTCGCTGGCTGCCTGGTAGTGTCTAGCAGGATAGTGTCTTGGCACAATGACATCTTCCTTACCCCCTTGCTGTCCTCCTCATTTTGGGCTTGCCCTTCACCAGAATCACCTTATTTAAAATCTTCTGCTTTGGGGATGGCACTGCTTGCTTCTACTGCCTTCTCATTGCTTAAATCTGGGTAATGTAAACCCCTGAGGTCAGTGATTCTATCAAGACCAGGATCTGTTCAGTCTACCCTCAAGGATAACATTGTTTCAAGAGAGATAGCAGTGAATACAATGTCTCCAATAATCTTTGAATTTTTAAGAATTTTTAAGTTCACTTTAAGAACTACAACTCTCCCATGTTTCCTTAGAATAATGTCTACTGAAAATCACAAAATTAAAAAGACAGCAAAATGTCAATGAAACTGACAAAGAACTAACTAAAGTTGAGGAAATCAATCCTGGTTCATCCAGTCAAGGTCAGACATCCTGAGTCAAGCTGGTATCTAGGGACACATATATGTGCACCCTGGGCTTCTCTGGACATTCTTAGCTCTAACATTGAGATACCCTTTCCTGGCCTTTTGAGCATGTCCAGTTTGCCTAACATGGAGCCCGTTGTGTCTCCTACCACGTGGGTGGAGTTAGCCTCCTTTGATGGGCTGCTTTATTATTCCATTTAAGAAGGAAGAAAGGAAGGAAAGAAGGGAGGAAGAAAAGAAGGGAAAGAGGGAAGGAAGGGAAGGATGGAGGGAAAGAAAGAAAGGAGAAAGGAAAGAAGAAAGAAAGGAGGGAAGGAAGGAAAAAGAAGGAAGGAGGGAATGGAGGAAAAGAAGGAAGGAAAATTTTTTTCCAGGTCTTTTCTCCTTTTATTAGAGCTAGTCTTAAAAAAGGTGAAGAAAGCAGATCCCTAGTTTTATAACTTTAGAGTTCTGCTTGAATCATTGCATCGTAAAGTTAGTGCACACCCCTTCATTTTCCAGATACTGAAACTGAGGCCCAGAGAGGGTTTAGTCAGAGATGGTAAGTGGCAGAACTCGATTACAACCAAGGTCCTCCTATTCCAAAACCAGCACTTTTTCCATTGTATTATATTGCCTCTCATATCTAATCAGCAACCAAGGCCTATCCATTTCAACTCAGTTAATAACTCTCCCATCCATCCAATCTTTTTTATTCCCATTACCACTACCTTAGTGCAAGGCCTTATGACCTTCCTAGACTGTCTCCTTATAAGTTTTCCCAAAGATCTATTCACTTTCCCTCAAATTTATCCTCCATACCACTGTCCAAACAAATTTCCTTGTCCTTCCATCTCATCTTGTCACTCCTCTCATCGGATACCTTCAATGGCTCCCTACTGTCTGTTAAGGTTCAAACTTTTCTGTCTGGCCATCTAAGCCCTCTGTGTTCTACACCAGAGCTTCTTAAGATGCAGGTCAGGACAGTAAAAGGTTTCTGATCAATCAGCAAAAAATTAATTAAAAATCAAACCGTAATGAATCTGAGATGTTTCTGGCAGTTCTTGCCTATGTTGCATTGTGAAACTTCACTGCAGCCTTGGTTCTGAATACGAAGTGCATGCCCTTACTCCGTGCAACACAATGAACACTGCTGAAATGGGAAAGGGGGTCCGAGTGGAAAAAGTTTAAGAAACCCTGTTCTATACCAAAACTACCTTTCCAGCCATCTTTTATGGTATTTTCCTCCATGTACTCTATGCTCTGTCCAAGCTATGATTTACTCTAAAAAGATTGTCTTACACCATCTTGCCTCCTTATCTTTGCTCACGCAGCTCCCCATACCTAGATTATTCT